GGGGGGGGGTTTGGTCGTAACCTTTGATGCGGGAGGGCACGGACAAAATACCTGACGTAGCGGAGATAAGATCGCAAGCGTTATTTCATTCGCTATTCCTTTTGATACAAAAATTATTTTACGGATGGCGTATCGCAAAACGAGACTCCGGCGAGCTCTCTGCTCCGCTTCGGTCTCGACATCCTATCCCGACGGTGAAATATGTATCGACCGACCATAATGTCCCCGAGGGACGCAGCGTGGAAGCGCTCCGGAAGTCCTCGCGATTACGCTCGTACCGCGCAAAGATTTATGAATACTTTCCTCAGAGGCGTGCGGTTGTTGGATTGAATTAACACCACTTTCCAAATTTTCCGGCATCTCGCTGCTTCCGATCGTGTTTACGTCATTCTAAACAGCACGATCGTATAACGCGCAGATTCAAACGGATATTTCCGAACGGTAGGATTTTTACGGTACCGAAGCGTTTATTATTATTGTATCAATCCGAAAGCATCGTTCAATTATTCGTTTCACGCAATCACCCGCATCATCGAGCGCGCGATCATTTCGCGTGAACGCATCCACGCACACAATGCCGCACGTGTAGTCTCGTGTGTGTTTTTCCCATGGACGCGACGGTTGGGCCCCGCAACGGACGGAGACTCTGTGAGGATGATTACATGGTATCGACATCTTACAATGAGCCAGGAAGAATTCTGCGTAGGTATCTCCATTCTGCACCCCCCCGTAACTCCATCCCCCTGAAACCCTCGCCCAAGGGTGTGTCCCGGATAAATGGTCGGCTATCTTATTGAGCTATCAATGGCCTGGCTTTAACCCTTCACCGCGCGACCGGCAACGCGGTCCACGGTCCGTGAAACCTTTGATCTTCACCGCGCTGGCTCGTATGTAACTATATGTTGCATTATGACTTTGCTGCACTTATTGCCGCTACACTACTGTTACTCGCAGCGGTTCTCATTGACACACATTTCTCGGACGACACTCGTCAGACTTTTTTTTTTTTTTTCATATTTCGTGAACGAAGCTGGTACGTTATCTTTAATGACAGTAATAGCTAGATACCTGTAATATTTTACACTTATGTTTTTTTCGTGCGAATGTAGATCTGTCTCATGCATAAATTGAGAGATCAGAAAGCGAACTTAGATATTAAACTTGGATATCCAAAAAGAGATCGGGCGAATCGCACACACGGACAAAGAAATTGCTCGAGAAGCGGTTGTGTTAAGGCACACTCGCGAGTCGTAAACAAAGCCAATAAAATATTATGTACGCAGCATACGGGGCCGAGAGATACGGATGGTCGGAGAGAGACCGTAATAACAGCCGCAACGCATAATTGCCAGAACGATTGAATTTCTATATTACCGCGATGCGCGCCCGAGCAGTAAGACGTATGGCTCCATACCGACGGCATCGTCTACTATCTGTACACTTTAAAGTACACACAGCCTTACCTTCTCTTTTTCACTCTGTTCTTACGTTTCCTTATTATTCTATTCCCATGATGTAATACACGCAAGATCGTATTGATACTATTACAGTCTTACATATGTATATAACGTTACAATATAAAAAAAAACGAAAATATATTTCCAATACGATGATTTTGATGATAAAAAGGACGTAGACGCTTCTAAGACACCAGAGGTGTGATACCATTTATTCCCTCCCTTTAACATTCTCCGACTCTGAGCTTCCCTGACTAGAGTATCGCCTCGCGATTATTTTCACAAGAGGACCTGTCCGTCTTCTGTGTTCTCGCCGCGCGATCTCCGGGCAATTCCCAGATAAACACGCATGATTTTTCAATGGGGTCGATCTCGCGTGACGCACGATTCGCACCATAGAGCAACGAGGTGGATACGAGCCAAACGGATAGCGAGAGACGACGACGTACGCCCGGCAATGAGTTACCGGGCGGAGACTATAACTCCCCCGGTGATATACGACTGTATCTCGGTACCATTTGGCAGACGTAGATATATTATACGCATTCCGCCACGACGTGAATTTATTTATTCTATAATTATCGCGTACAATCGGTAATGCGCCCCGTGTGAGAGCGCACGCGGAGGGATGCGCGCTCTCGCCGCGCTCATTTCCTGGCCATTTTCGGATATGCCGAAGAAATCCTCGAGAGTAACGTCGAGTGTACGCGTGCGATAATTAATTGTTGCAATTACACTGTGGCTTAATAGCTATCCGCGAGATTATATACACAGCCGGCTGGGTTTGAATTGAAACGGTAGCTTTTTTCAAGACACGTACGGCAGAAAAGGCTTATGGATGGAGAAGATCGATAATAATCGGTAGCTGATTAAGAGAGTTGGGTGACAAGTAGTGAGTGATGTTGTAAAGGATAATTGGAAATATTACTCGTTGCCAGAAAGCCTTTTCTTTTTATCGCGCTGTTGCGACGTCTAAGGTTGTCGCCGTGAAGAAACGTTTCGTTTACGTTCTACCTCTATTTTCCGTCGTATCATTCGGAGGGGATCTCGAGAGTATCTCTCGATAGCGAAACTTGATAGCACGATGTCGGGCACAAGTAGGCGTTGTCCAAGAGGCCAAGAGGAAAAGGTGCCGGGAGATGCGAAGTTTGAAGGAGTAATGTGGCACGGGGGGGTATGACCAATCAATTACTAGTAGTGCAGCTCAGGCCCCACACACAGCACCAATATTACCGGGTCCATTACCTTTCGTCCGCTGCACCTCCGCCGCGGCAGAGAAGACGGAGAGAAGGTGAGACGATGAGGAGAACGAGGAGAAGTCGTATGATGCACGCTTACAAATTCGCCTGCCGGCTATGACGTCGCCGCGGCCCGTGAAGATCGAGCGTGACTCCGACTTTTTGCGTATCCTGCGTATGCGCGTAATATATGCGTGTATAACGTAACCGATCGGGACACCACGCTATGCATCTTCGCCAGCCGATGCGATAAATTTACTTCGACGGTTCATTTATTAGTCGTACGCGAACGCTTCGTTCCAATCCTACATGTTAAATGAGAATGATTTTTGCCTTCCCTTCTCTCCCACGCGGAAGATACGCGTTGCGTGAGATGTTATATAAAGAGATATTTATTTTATTATTTACTTTATATAAATAATTTAAAAATTCACACGGCTCTCTGTGTGGATAACAAATGAAAATACTTTGGGTAAAGAAATTTACACACACTAATATGTACTTGGTTTTTCGGAATAAATATTCACAGTTCAGTGAAGAAATGTCATGATAAATTCTACATATATAAATCTTACAACGGTGATATAAATGACATTAAAGTTGCAATAAAGTTTTAAGAGTTAGGATTGAAATTGAGAATTGAACGAAACATTAATTATTTGAACGTAAATATTAATCTGAATTGAACACGGTTTCAGTGTATATTCACGGAGGAGGCGAATGTTTCGTAAATGCTTAACCTGGGGGATCACCAACGTCGTTGTGCCCGAGGCACGTCCCAGGCGTGAGTTCAGTCGAAGATATCGAACGTGACCGAACCACAAGAAGATATTTTAATTATCGTACACACACTCTCCGTTGGTTTACAGCCTAATTATGGAATCCACCCACACGCGACGGTATGACTGCGCCGTTTTGACATTTGTGGCTCACACTTAAAAAGAGGTTCAATCCGATGAAATACGACATATTCTGCATTTTTTTCTTTTAAATTATGAAGGTTCGATCGCACATTTAGTCTTCAGAAATATAATTGCAATGTAAATTTTAAATGAGCTTTTTCAGAAAAGCGATAATTTTAGCGCTTGGAGAAATTAAAAGGATTAGAAAAATAATGAAAATATACGTTAGCTATATACTGTCTTACTGCGTTTATCATTTTATAGGAAGATGCGAATAATTATTTAAAGTTTAGAACGTTCACAATATCTTCAAGAGCAGCGAGATTGTTCAGATCTTCGCAGGCTGCAGAATCTCTCGACGATCTTGTAATATTACGCTGGTCCGTGCCCGGTAATCTAGTTCGGCTATTTTTCAACGCGTATAATAGCATCGATAAATCAAATTAAACGCGATGTTAGGTGAGCGCACATCGCGCACGCGTCGCGGAAATGCGTCTCTAAATCATCGGCGGGTATAACGCATTGGGAGGATCAAAGAGGCACGAACCAACGTCGCGGCTCTTCCCGCGTTTTTATTTCGCACTCCTCGACCCTTGCCTTTTCACGAAGACGGTTGTAATTATCCATCCGAGTGGTCTATTTAGTTTCCGCGAAGTGTCATGGCCCATCGAAAGAGTTCTGGAGAGAGCGGTCCTCCCTCTCTCTCTCTCTCTCTCTCTCTCTCTCTCTCTCTCTCTTTCTCTCTTTTTCCATCTATCTGCCTGTCTCTTTCTTTCTCCCTGTTCTGGCGCTCCCGGTGTTCTTTAAAAGACTTCCCAGAATAAAAGATTAACGGGATAAACGCTGGCCGATCGTTTCGAAGTAACGTTTTCTTTCAGGCGCTTTCCTAAAACAATTTACGAGCTCGTGTTTTTATAGCTCACTCTTAGTTCTGTTTTTACTTCCAAATGATAAAGATCTTTCTCGCGAAGTTACATTTCGTCTGCTGCATTTATAATTAGACATTTCAAGCAATCGATAAAGTGCTATCTTTTACATGAATGTAAAATAACGAATATCTAGGTATTGCTGTTCCTTAAACTTGCACTTACCTTCTTTATACTCTTCAAGTGAATCCTTCTCAATCCTTCTTTGATCCTTCTTCGAAGTATACTTTCGTTCTACGCGAGACTCTTGAGAAATCGAAATTGCATTCTTTTCCGACTATCTCGTGCATCCACCGTGCACCGAGTCTTCGCACCGTTTCCTTCGAATGTTGCAGAACGAGAGCCACCCATAAATCTCGAGATGGACCACCCGGCTCCGCGGTCTATCCCGTCACGTTCTTCACGTCCCATCGAACGCGCAGATTCGAGAGTCTCTTCGAGAGGAAGACACCGCTCATGTCAAGTATCTGCTGTCAAGTATGCGGATTCCGCGACGGTGCGGCGTTCGTCCGTTCGAGGGACGAGAGTGTGTGTGTGTGTGTGTGTGAGATGCGCCCTTTTTGTGGACGATATCCACGCCAAGCTGCCGGTTACTCGCATGCCAGTTAAATAAGCCATAAAGCCGAGGGTCGTGACATAACGCAAGGTTGTCACCACTCGTGGCATTCGCGGAGGTTTCGCTGATTTATTACGCGCGTATCGCGACAAGGGGGATGGAGAATCAGCGCGAAGAACAACATCGAGTCCGATGCGAGGAGGGGTTGAGAGATCGGCAGCGATTCTTGGAACTGTCTTTGACATCTTCTATGCGAGACACGCCGGAAAGATGAAGACGCGGGTGGAGAGACGAAAGGAGGACGGAAGAAGACTCTCTCTCTCTCTCTCTCTCTCTCTCTCTCTCTTCTTCTTCCCTCTCTGTATGCGTCGTTAGACGCAAATCGCGAAACGCGCATCGCAACTGCGGTCCGCAAATTTCTGCGTGCACATCCAATGGCGTAGTTGAGTGCAATATTTGATAATTCTTCATATAACTGATTTTACCATAAATTCTGTTTGAAAACATTTAATTTAATAAAAATGTGTAGCAGCATTTTTATATTGTATCGCATTATCGGTTCTTTAAATACTATGTATTAAAGAATACTATTATATATCAGAAATACCGATTATAAAATATTAAAATTAGTATATGATTGTGCAAAAGCTTAGGAACTTTGTGCAAATATTGTATAAATGAAACGTAAAACAATTATTAGATGCTGGCAACATCTGGAATATAATATTACTGCTTGACGATAATCAGCATCACGAATTGTGAAACATTAATATTGCCATGCATACGTGCGAGTGCATCGAAAAATACGTCGTATGGAACTGCATGCGTATGTGTTACTCAATACAAAATAAAGCTCCTATTAAAAGGACGATTTTCAGTCTTCACGACACAAAGGGTGAGGTCTTATTTCAGGCGTAGAACGCTATTAAATATCAGCAAGATTAAATATCCAAAGACGATAGTGTATATGTACCATATACATACATATATGCATTGTTGTAATATATTTCGCGACATGACCTACGCCATTGCGTGCGTAAATGCGTGCGTGCACAGACAACGCGAGAACGCGCGGCGGAGCGGGGGTGTGTGTGCACCAGAAGCAAAAGTAAAGTACGCCGCTGCACCTGCTTCTCGGTCCATCATGCGACGTGTCACCCACGCTAGTTTACTGCACTGCGAACCATGTTATGCATCTGCGAGACAAGGCGCTCGGAGGATCTATGGAGGGATTTCAGCGGTAATCGAGAGATACGCGCCATCGTCGCGGTATTTATTCCTCCCGGTCGGTGCCGGCGCGCCGCGTCGCTTTTCCGCTCCGGCTCCGCTCCTCTCCCCGTTGTTGCGGCGTATTACGGGTGCGAGCAGCTGCCAAAGCTACGGGAATTGGCTTCGACGTGTTCCGAAAATATTGAGAGCCATCCGAGCGCGCGAGAGGGACCGTAAATCAATCCGCTATCTTTGAGAAGTCTCGCCTCAGAGCGACGCAGATATGTCCACGCGGCTACTCGTTTTTCACAAAAACACCGAGAATATGAAAATTTACTTGTCTCCATTATGTTGTATTATTATACCATTCACGTCGGAATCGTTGTCGCGAAGTGTGTTCTCAACTACGCAGCTAAACGCGTAACTATAATATTTTCTGCTTTCTCTATACTGATACCATGTAAATTTTGCTAAAACGTAAAAATATTAACGCATATATAGAAAGAAAGTATCGTAAAAATATGATACATAAAAGTACAGTGGAAAGAATGATTTTGCTGAAATATAAAAAAAATTTAACTAGATACAGATCTGAAAATAATTTTATTGGATCGTCAAAATAATTATGTAGAACATTTAAACGTTGATCGCAATGCTGCAAAAAAGTTTTAACATTCCAACTACCAATTTAAGCGTTCTATATCTGTGATGCAATCAAAATTATTTTTAGATCTGTATTTAGCTAAATAAAATTTTTAGATACTTCAACAATATCGTACGTTCTTCCCATGTGGTTATAATAATATAAAGCTTTACTGAAGAGTTTGACGGGACACTTCTGGGAAATTGATTTTCGGGTTATCGCTTCAAGTTAGTTAAATCCTGAAATCAACTCTCGCCGGGTTGACTGTATCGGACGAGCGTATATATATATATATATATATATATATAGTATATTCGGGCGGTCCACCTCTCCCGGTATAATTAATTAATCTACTAGTAATTATATGTAATCGCCGTTGCGGCTGCGCAGCCGCGCGGATCGCGCGCATAGTAAGTGGAGCTTAGACCGACGGAATCTCGTAACTCGTGATAAATTGCCAGCCGATGACTAACTACCGGATGAAGGCGTCCCTGACGTCTCGTAGAAGGATGCAACACCTCCGATCTGTTTCATCCTTTAACGACCTATTCGGAAAAAATGCACGACTATATCGCACAATTCCAAAATATCGAATTAGTTCTAAAAAAATTCGCTAATGTTCTCTCATATATATATTGTATATATCTGCGGATATTA